GAGACTGCGGCGCCCAGCAGCTGCTTGCGCTGCGCGAGCTCCGCCACGCCCTGCTCCTGCAGCGCATCTTCTGCCGGCAGCTGCCCCTGGCCGGCCCCGGCCCCGGCCCCGGCCGCCTCCATTGCCCCCGCGCTTTCCCGCTCTCTGGACCACAGCTCCCCACTTCCCACACCCCCGGCTCGGGTGCGCATGCGCAGCGCTCATAGGCTGGGTATCTGAAACAGAAGGCAGGAGCATTTTCAACCCCGCCCTCGCCACCTGTGACGTCACAAAGGCATGCGCAGAGGCGAAAGTTCGGCGCGTGGAACGGGCTTTGGGACCTGGGTGGCTGGCGCGGTGACGTCACAAACCTCGCCGCTGGGCGCGTGGGACTGCTTTGGGGTCGCGGTAGTAGCTGCTCCGCTCTGCTTCTCTTCTGTCCCCGCGGGGCCGAGGCAGCCGGGCCTTTCCCGCCCTGCCAGTCCTATGGGCTCCCTCACGCTGCAGTCTCTGCGGGAGGTGATGAAAAGCCTGCTCGACTCCCCCGGCTTTGATCGCGTGCTGGATAAGGTAGAGCCCGGCAGGGGAGATGCCACCAGGTGCTTGTCGGCTCAGCTGGTTTTGCTCATTTGGCCGGAGAGATCCCCCTCCTACGTGACCTTGAATGACCTGCTGTAGTTAGAGGGTGAAGGCCTGTCCCTTGCCCTGCGGGCAGGGTGACCTCTGCCGGAGTCTACAGCTGCCTCCAACTGCCATGTTCTCGGCTACACGATTGATAGTAATGGGGGATTGCACTCGGGCTCTCCCTTCTGCCTTTTGGCTGGGGGCAAGTGGGACTAGGGGGCATTTGAGCTCCAAGGCTTCTAGGCTTGGGGCTTACACGTATTAGGCTTACCACAGATTTGGGAGTATCTGAAGCCCCAGTCTGAAGGGTCTGGGAGGTAAGATACTTGCCAGTCGTAGCGCCACGCAGACAACTGACCTCTGATAAGCACCCTCCAGCGGATTGCATTCATTGGGCTCCTATACACTTGTGGAGAGGCTGCTCCAATGCACTGTACTGAAAGCGTGTGGGAGCAGACTCAGTTAATCAAGTTTGCTGGAGTGTGGTAATTACTGCACTCCAGCAGACTCCAGTGTCGCGTGTATCAGCACCCCCACGCTGAAAAATGGCAGTGGTGCACTTTAAAGCTGGGTTGATGAGCCTTAATTCAAAGCGCCCCACTGCCATTTCTCAGTGCAGGATGCTGATACATATGATGCTCCGGGCACTTTTAATTAAAGCACCCCACCCGCTGGAGCATGTCTGTAAACACTCTCCAAATCTTCTCTGACACATGCTAAGTAGTATGTATTGGAGTAGGCATTTGGCAGGTGTGTAGGGGCCCTTTGTTCCTAATTGGGTAGAGGACATAAAATTTTGTAACAACTGTTCTTGGGTGGAGCGGAAAGTTGGGTTGGGTGGGGGTTGCTGTCAAGGTCTGATCCTGCTTTTCTTTGCATGCACAAGGTACTGTAATAGGAAAGAACAGCAAAGAGAGAAAATGCAGCTTCTGTCTCTGCCATTGTTGTTTAGACTGTGTCTGTATCATCTCTGGACTATGCTAGCAAGTGTGAAGGTGCCATGCTGTGCTCTTTAGTCCCCAACCTAAGAGCTTTACTAGGCACACATGGGTAAACTTTCTCTTTGGGTGTGCTTAATGGCACATGGCCAGTGCTGCTGCAAGGAGTTTATATGACATCTATTTTGTAGTTTAGGAAACATGGAGTAGATGTGTCACGCTACTGCAGTCTGGAGATGGTGTAGGCATCTTTTTATTTGCAACCTTGTTGGTTGAAAAGCAAGGACACAGAACATGGGGCAGCTTGCACCAGCATCAGGCTATGCAAGGCAGCGTCTTTCTCTGGGCTAAAAGCCTTGTTGCAGAAGAAGCAATAATGGCCAGCTAAGCTTGACTGCACAGAATATAGAAAGAGAAGTAGTAAGGAAAAAAAGTAAAAGGACCCATGGGAAAAAGAGAGCCAGATACTGTTAAGGACCCAGTGAGACTGGTGAAAATGGCAATGTCATTCTGATTCAGAAAGGTCAAAGATACTGTTGGCAGAACTCTAAGCTGAATGGAAGATTTTTGTAGGCTCTGGTTTCCTGAAGTCTACCCCACTCAGGAGATTTAAATGATTGCTCTGGAAGACCCACATTCAGTCCTATTTTTCTAATGTCTTCATGAACACATTGCACAGGCTTAGAAGAAAATTCAAAATGATGTTATGCAGTACTTAAAATGCTTATTTATTTCCTAAAAAGGAACTTTATAGCAGCGGTTTACTCCCTGCTTGATAATCTGACTGAAAGTAGAAAAGTATATGGACAACATCTGACATAATCAGAACTCTGTGTAGCTCAAATGTAATGCAAAGAGGTTGTTAATATGCCAAAGTGGGGGATCAATATGAAATTTAAGACTGCAGCAACTATATCTACCATTTTGAACATGCAAAATATTTTGTGATACTGTAGAAATAAGCTCTTCTGTGAATGCTCTGAGGCTAGACCTTGCCTCAATGTAGAATTGTACCAGAAATCTGGTTTTAGCCTGATGTTAAGTTGATGCAATGGTTTTTAGAGGAGGGAGGGTAGAATTAACACAACTAGTTTGGACTGAAAAGCGTACATTTTAAAAAAAGAAGATTCCATGATTGGAGCTCCATAGGAAACCTAATTATGAGCCTCTTCCTTGATGGTTCTACAATTTGATGCATTTTTAGAAGGTCCTTACATATTACTTCCTGCTCAAAAAGCAAGACTTGACATCATTATCCCTAAGTCATATATCTCTTGTGTCCAACAGACTAGACAATGAACTACAAAAACCTCTATATAGTTTTAGAATAATTGTTTTAAGGTCTGTACCTCCTTTTCCCATGTGATAGTTTAACTTTTCTATATGAAAAGGATGGACAGAAAGGAAAAATCCAGTTGGAGCTGAGGGTAGTGAGACATTTCAAGTCAGAAACTTGCAAAAACTTATTATTTGCAAAGACTTGAGAAATGGCACTTCTGTCTGAGCACTGAAGCACTTGACAAGCATCTTGCAGTTAGCTGTTTCTGTATTAAATATTTTTTTAAATGTTGTTTTATTTAATAAAACACTCAAGATGCACATGACGACTGCAAATGTTTCCGTTCAAGCTACTGGCATACAAGGTAAATGAGGCCTTCCTATCTGAAACCATATGCGATTATGGATTTGGCACAACAGACATTAAACTTTAAGTGATGCTATTTAGCAGTGAACCAAAATAAATGTATTCCTTAAAAAACAGGTCAAAATTTTTTTGTCCTAAGTAAAACTGTATTACTTCTAGAGGTGAAGCAAGTTATTTCATGAAGGGTTTCTTAATATTACTATCTTTATTTTGTGATAATTTTTCCTAAAGTTAATGTAGCATTTAAAATAATATTGCAAATCTGAATGTATTTACAAAATCTTTGCTTCTTCCAGTTTTGTGGAGAACCCTGAGTCACTTTGACTTGCTTTGAATTATGTAATACCTGTTGCTACTGGGATGTAGCAGTTAATTAGTAAGGCAGGTTTCTAAACAAGGAAACCTAACACCAGTTGTTTTGTGTCAACGAGGTAGCTTCTTGGGGCCTACTTACAACAGGAAACTTATCACTAATCAACCTAGTTAGTATAATTTTTGTGGGCACATCTACATGTGCATTAATGTGGCATAGTTACTGCGCATTAAGTTTAATACCTATAATAACAGGTACTGTACTAACTCAATGCGCAATAACTGGCACTACTGTGCAGTAGCACCAGCACATACCTTTTTAGTGACGCTAATGCGCAGTAGGTTAAAAGTAGCAAAAGCATTAGCACAGCTTCAGCTGTGACGCGCGCAGTAGAATTAGTCTACTGCGCATTTAGCATCTTGTATAGACATGCCTTGCATGGACAAAAACAGTTGGGAGTAAGAACATATAACTGATATAACTGCTTATTCTGGATAACTGTCAATACAAGGAGTTAGAGGTATGACTGCTGGTAAGTTACCATGTAGGAGTCCTGAGCATGTCAAACTAATCTTTCTCATACTCCTTTCTGTTTTGTGAGCTACCAGGTTTGGCTATACAATTATAACAGATGGGTAAATCAAATCAAGCCATCAGATGGAGTCTCCGTTAGCCTTATTCAAGATGTAAAGGCCACTTAACCGAAGTATGCCCCCTCATAAACAATTATTAGCAGTCCTAGAGGACCACTGAAGTGTTGTTAAATGGACAATATGAACACTTGTTACAGTATCTTCCTAGAGGAATTTATATGGTGTATAAAATCTCCAGTCACGATTTTACAGAAATATCTGGGTTGGCCCTTTTTCATTGTTATGTTTTCATCTCTCCTCATGAAATCTTATTTCAGTTTCTGGACTGTCTTTCAACTTGATCTTTTCTCTGGGAAGAGGTATGATGATCATCAATATGCTGAGCTCTTGAAGTAACAGGATTATGTTCCTCTGTTCGGTTTCAGATGAAGCTTCTTTCTGCAACTCCTGGGAAGGTTGTATGTGAAATGAAAGTTGAGGAGCAGCACACAAACAGGGCTGGCACACTGCATGGAGGCTTGACCGCCACCCTGGTAGATGTTGTGTCAACAACAGCACTGTTGTACACAGAAAGAGGAGCTCCAGGGGTCAGCGTGGACATGAACATAACGTATGTATTGAGCATGCTTGCTATAAGGTGTTAAGTTTTCTCCCTAGTCGCCTTTCACAAACAGACTCTGCTGAGTTTCTTTCTTGTGATCTATGCAGCCCTGGGGAGATGCATTACAATAGGTTGGCTCTGAAACATTTTGTTTCACCGAACTCAGTGGAGATCTTATTTGGGCATCACCTCAGGTAATGGAGGTACTAGTTTGAGTTAGTCTTTTAACTATGTATTTTGTTTATGCCTTGGCTTTTGTGATGGAGTCCTGATTCTGTAGGCTTTTCACTTATGAGATTGTAGATCTTGAAAACAAGAAGTAACATTCAAATTGGTGAAAAAGTGGAAGGGGTTAGCCTGGGCTCACCTTGTTCCGGCTCTGGCATGGATGTTGCATGGAGCTACCTAATGTGAAGAACAGAAAAATCAGGACAGTTGAGAAAAGCCCCCTACATTCAAGTATTGCTTTTCTCATCAGAGTGGGAGACAACTATGAAATTGCTAAAAATCTGATGAATAGCCTCCTTCTAGTTGAAGCCCTTGGCTCTAAACACACACAAGCTGTTGGGAGCTTTTGCTTCAATGGCATTGTGGCTTATATAAGCCTCAGGAGAGATACTGGAGTAGAATGGCATTAGGCAGTGACCTTTCAATGTATTGTTTGAGACTTTGTTTTGGTTCTAAAATGGATTGTTATGTAAAGACTGGAAAGTCTGGGTTCTTACCTGTCTTTGGTTTATCACAAAACTAAGGTATTGATAGTAAGCTTCTTTCCACAATAGCCCAGTCAGGAACCCTGCCAACCCATGTTACATTTAGAAATGTGGGAATCTGGGTATAGGAATTGTCTGAGGGGTAGCTGACTGTAGTATGTTTTTGGTTTGGTTTGGTTTTTTAAGTTCTCCAATATTTGACATGTTATGCATAAACTCTTACCTGTTCATTCTCTCTCTTATTCAAGATACATGTCAGCTGCTAAGATAGGAGAAGAGGTACTGATAACTGCTCAGGTTTTGAAGCAAGGAAGAAGCATTGCATTTGCCAGCGTGGATTTAACAAACAAGGCAACTGGAAAGTTAATAGCACAAGGCAGACATACAAAGTATCTGGGCACTTAATATAAGGAAATGATCTCTAAAAAAGAAAGGTTTGCCTTAATATTCTGTATTGAATTACTCTTCTAGTTTCAGATATCCCTGTAGGCTGTTAGATAGCCTATATTAAATGGGTTGGTCTGAGTTCCGTAATTAATGGACTTGTGTTCGTGTCAGAAAACTGCCATTAAAGTTGGCACTAACTTTCAGCTGATTGTAGTCCTTCAGCCCTTGAGTACTCTCCCCAAAAGCTGAAGACTTATCTGACACTTTTTGTGCCCAAAGAGAATGATGATAAGGTGAACCTTTCAATTCAGGATGCAGACTTGGTGTCGGGACAGTGCAGGAAAGCTTAGTTTTCTGGTGCCAATGCCAGACCTGTCATGAAAAATGACTCTGTCTTCAAGGCTGCCAGACAATCAATCCCCTTTTAGATGCCAGTTTATGAACAGACTGCATTCTTTATTTTGTATAATAAAGCGGTATTTAAGTAACACATCTTCACAAGCTCATAAATACTGATTGAAATTGTGAATCCAAAATAAGAATATGTTGCAAATGAAAATAAAATGTACCTTACTTTCATTTTTATGCTTGAACTCAATTATTTTATAAAACAAAATTCTCAATTATCTGAAGAGAGAAGACCTGTGAAGTGACAATATCTGTTGCTGGGCCAGCTTGTATAGTTGAGAGAGAGAGAGAGGAGATAAACTTTCAGATTTCAAGTGCCCTTCATTAGGTTGTGGAAAGAAGCAGTTACATTCCAAGTCAAGCATAAGTTAAAGCACTTCCCTAGTTTAAAGTTCATTCTGTTAACTTTTCTGACTCTGTCATATTATTTAAGTTGGCAGAAAGTAATTTAATTTAAATTGGACTACAGTTCTTTTTCTTGCCTCAATGACAGAAAGAAAAGGCGTTAGTTATAGCCATATTCTAAGACTACATATGATAGAGACCTTTACAGTTCAAGCAATTGATCTATTGCAGCTGTTTTTAAATTATAGAAGTTAATTTGTATTCCATTTTGAAAATAAAAAGTTTATAGCTGGAAAGACTTGTAAAATTACTTTGCAGTAAAAGGGGAAGCATTATTCTGAACACTGTTTCTAGCACTGACCTGACAAGAGTTGTGACTACTGATACAGTGCCAACACAACAGACTGCCCACAACAAGAAGATGACAGCAGCTGCTCGGGCTGTGCGAAACAGCACTGTTCCATTTCAACTTCAGTTTCACAGTCTGGATGGAATAGTGTTTTGTTTTGAATTTCATTTAGAGTTGAAACAGCCTCACTGTTTCGCCCCACCATCAGGCTGGGGGAAGGAACTCAGCCCAGCTGGGCTGACTCCCCATCCTCAACTTGATCGCAGCACTTGGAAGGGGAACTGAGCCCGGGCTCAGTTCCCTTCCCCTGCACTGTGAGCGGCTTCCCACAGCCCGGCTGCGGGAGATGGGGAGAGACAGGGATGCACTCTCAGCTGCTGCTGGGAGCGCAGCCCTGGTTCTCCCCTGTCTCCCAGCACCTTGCTGCTGGTTGCTTCGAAACTCAAAACATTTTGAAATGTTTCGACTAGCTTCATTTTGTTCTGAGGCTGTTTTGAAGCCCTTTGTTTTGATTCGATTTCACTGTTTCAAGCTCAAAATAAGTCGAAATGGTGTCAAATCGAAACAGCGAAATTTTGCGCAGCCCTAGCAGCTACTATGTAATTACTTGTAATACTGATGGTCTGGATTAGGAGCTAGATTTAAGAGCTCTTTATAGAAAAAGCTAGAAGAGCATGTTCTTAGCTACCATGTATGTGCTACCATCTTGCTTAAAGGTGGCTTAGCAGTCATACACTAAAGTCCACTTTCTTCTTCTACGTGTTGCTAGAACACACATCCTCAAAGTCTCTAAGCTGCAAATGTGAAAGTACAATAATTTTTAGAAGACTTTTAATATTAAAATGATCTAAATAAAAATTGCTGGCCAAAAGTCACTGTGTACCTGTATGAAGTCTGAGACTATAAGCCTACTTGTTTGCATGTCACTGCCTCATACCAATCTTCCTTTTTATATGTGCAGCTTTGATATTTAATGTCAAACTATAGGAAGACTTCACCTTGGTTGTGGAATTGGCATAGGTTGAAATGGAAATATTATGATCATAATAGCAAGTGATTTGACCATGTTGCTTTTTTTCTGGTTTTGATTCTAAGATGTAAGACGATACACTCAAAAAAGAAAAACCAGAATGTGCAGAATGTGTAGCTGAGTTGGCACGACTGGCATCTTGACTCTGAAACCCTGTAACTTGTAGAAGACAAAAGAATACAGTAGAAACTGACTGCAGTTTCAGGCTCCTTACAATTACCTTCTTAATTAAGGCAGTCCTAGTTTCCTATGGGTGAGCTTAACTGGGTTTAATGCTTGCTTAAAGCAGTTCAGCTTAATGTAGACATGTATCAGTGCAAGTTGACCTGGTTTCAGTAAGTGTAAACCTAATTTAAGTATATAGTAACCTGGCAGAAGCCCCTTAACTTGATTAATTGAAAATTGATGCTATTAACCTGGTACCTGCTCTTGATTACAGATGAGCGCTGGCTTTTTCTCTGTGTGCAAATTATCCCAAACCTCACCCTGGGCCCATTGCAAGCAAATATACATGATGTGATAAAAATAGCAATCCTTGCCTGAGACGCATCTACCCAAGTGCTTCCCCTGTTGCTATATGCAGTCATGTGGCTAGTAGCATAGGACTGTAAGATTAGAAGGCTGCTTACTGTAGACAAGGCCATGTAGCAGCAGCCCAGCCCATCAGTCATAGGTGGGAGAACATCATGAAGGCAAGTGAACCTGATTGGGCACTACTGAAAATATTTGGATACAACAGAGCATGTACTTACTGAAGCCTGGTTTCTAGTCACTCAACTTCAGTTCCCCACATGGCTAAAATCTGAGTGGTGCAAAGATCAAGGCAAAAAGTGCAAAAAGTAGGCACCAGATGGGCAGTTTATTGGTAGAAAGCTTACATGCAGCTCATTGCTTTCTGTGTCTTCTAAATTACGGAACCCGTTCGGATCAGAATTGAAAGACTCACCATTAACACTGCTTCCTTTAAAAGTCCATAACTCTCTCTCATGTTCCCATTGTTGGCACCTATCAAGTATAAGGCTCTTTCCTGAGACTCCTGGATAACCCTGTTCAAGTGAGATGCCTCAGTGCAAAAGTGATGGATGGGGCAACTTAAACTAGGGACAGAAGTTACACATAAACCAGCTTGTGTGATTGGAAACTGGTTTAAACTTGTAACAGAACAGAAGTTCAGTGCGCGTAAACTGTTTTCAAAATGTCTGAAACCGGTTTCAGATCAACCTGATTGGATGTAGTATCAGACTTAACAGATTTAGGTCAAACTGGTTTATGGAACTTCTATTCCAGACCTCCTCCTGGTTCAATCCCAATCCGGGATTGAGGTGGGGGCATGGCTAAGGAAATTGCTCCCAGCTCCAGGCAGGAATGGGGAGTAAATTCCCCACTTTGGGCTTTCCCCCCTCACCCCATGCCTCCTATGTGCACAGGGCAGCTCCCAGTTGGGGATTTGGTGGGGGGGGGGCAGGTTCCCCCCACCCTAAAGTCTAATACTAAGTCGGGTAACAACTGGGGGGAATCCCTTCTCTGCACCAGGGCTGGGCTGGGGGGACCCTGCCAGGGGTGGGGAATGCCCTCTGAGGCTGGGGGGCCCAGCCAGCCTCAGGCTAGAAGGACTGCCCACCCTGAGGTGCAGAGATGGGGAGAAGAAGTGCAAGGGTTTGGGGGCATGTGCTGGGTAGTCAATCAAGGATAAGCCCTGCTGGGCTGCATTCCCATGCCTTCAGGCAAGCTAGAAAGCATTCTGTATCTCCACCCAGCTACTGGTGTGGGCCACTGCAGGGGTCTGACTACCTTTCTGGTTTCAAAAGTGAATGTCTGTTCACTTGCTTCTTGGTTCAATCTATGCATTTGGGCTAACCTGCAAAGATTGAATTGATTCAGCCTGGGGCTTTTTTAATGTCTGTATTTAGTCTTAGAGGCAAAACAGCATTCACAGAAGAGAGTGGAGTTTGCAGACAGAAACATCCTCATCCAGCATAGGCTCTGACATCACAGTGTGGAAGTCAAGGCTGGGCTGCAGTAGGATCATACATACTTACCTCCACCCAGTTACATTTGCAAGAAGATAATACAAGCAGTCAGCCAACAGGGTCCTGGTAGTGCAGCATTGGTTCTCATCCCAAAGCCAGACATGCATGTAGGCAGCACCAGAATCTGCAGTGTTGTCAGGATCCTTTCCCCAGGATGAGGGGAAAGAACCAGGTATATCATGCTCTCCACTCTGGTTCCCCAGGATCTCTCCCCAGGTGGTATAAGGGCATGGCCCACCCCTGTCCTGGTTGGCCACACGTGGCTCCACAGAGCCTGGTGCCCCCAGAATAGCAAAGGCACCAGTGATCGGGAGCATGGGCCAGTGCCACCTGACCCTGCACACGCCTTGGCCAGCTGCTGCTGCTGCTGCCCTACTGCATACCAAGTCTCAACTGCACCACCCATTAGTTCCCTGCACCTTCCTGGCAAGGCCCTGCCTGCACTCCCCTGGCAGGGTAAAGTGGGGCACCCCAACCCTGCACAGCTGCAGCATCTCCTTGTACACTGGCATCAGAAGCCCCCAGAGGGGCCCTGTACTGCATAAAATGCCATCAGTGCTGAGCAGGGAAGGAAGGCAGAAGGCTTCAAGCAGAACTAGTGTGCTAGCAAATATGTTTTGCAACATGCAGCCACAGAAATAGGATCATCAGTGGAGCAGCCGATGTAGAGGGTTCACAATTTTTTGCCAAGGGCAGAAGGCAGGGTAGTTGAATTGCTCTTGGAGGGTGGTGGAGGCAGTTTGTTCCCAGGATCAAACGTGAATGTTACACCTTCCAGAGCATTCAGACTTTAGGTTTATTCAGTTCTGTATTTCAGATGCTCCGTCTGACCATCATACACATTAATGCCATTTGCCTGTATACCACCTGGCACAATGGACACTCAAGTTTAAGTGATTCCAATTAATAATAACCCAAAACAAATGTATTCCTCGGAGTATGTCATACTTTTCCACCCTAAGACCTTATTATTTCTAGAAATGGGATTCGTCTATCTTTCTTTTGTGACAATTCACCCTAAAATTACTTTGCCCTTAAAAATTCCAGGAATATCACACATCTGAATCTATTTCCAGAATCTCGCCTTCTCCCAGTTCTTCTTGCTTTGAAATATGCAGCACCCCGTAATGGTAGACTAGCAAGTATGGCAGAAGACCAACTTGGCTTAGCAGGGAACACTTCAGTAAACTAAATCACAAGCAGGAAGCTTATAAGAAGTAGAAACTTGGACAAATAACTAGGGAAGAATATAAGAGCATTGCTTGGGCTTGCAAGGATGAAGTCAGAAAAGTCAAAACACAATTGGAGTTGCAGCTAGCAAGGGATGTAAATGGTAACAAGAAGGGTTTCTATAAGTATGTTGGTAGCAAGAGGAGGATCGGGGAATATGCAGATCCTTTACTGAATGGGGGAGGCA